AAATTGCAAATAATCCCTTGTTTTCCTCAATTTTCGAACCAAAAGCAGCCTTAGAACAAGCCTACGTTATCAAAATTTTGCATTAATCTGAATCCTACTCGAAAAGTTAATATCGGACGTTTTGAGAAGATTGAGCCACGGTTTTCAGTGCCAAAGACACCCCATGGCACTTGCCGCACCAACAAAACAACACACACAATATTACGACCGGTAGGGACCACCACAACACCTGCGCTACTTGCCCCTCTTTTTTTGTCTGCCCGTCTCTATACAAACGCGTACTATTTCTCCGTTCGCTGCAAGACCTTTCCGATTTACGCGCGAATTAGGTGTGCTGTGTTCCATTGTCGGTTGTGATAGTTGCGCATCAAAATCTTCTTCTCAGTCTCTATCACACGTGTATTTTTCAAATATCTTAATATCATTCATTTTAGGTAAAATGGCCAACAAAGTGTATTCCACCGAGTTCCAAAGATTGCTTAGAGAGAAAGATGAGGAAATCTGCAGCCTCAAAAAAATAATTGAACACCAGGACGCGATAATCGATTTTGTTGATCGCAAAATGCAAGAGATTCGCCTAGGAAATGAGAAACTCTTTTTGAGAAATCAGGAACTAGAAGCATTTTACAAAGGTTTTTAGTGTTCGTTCAAATAAATGCACGGTAATATGTTTTTACAGCTAATTCTCCCAAAAACCTCTTCCAAAAACAACCAAAGTCGCCAATTGTGATGGAAAAGGTCTCCGAGCGTTTATCGACTAATCACGAAATGATGAATAAAGATTGTGCTGATCGCAAGAAAGGTGCTGATAAAAACCATATTAGTGAGTTCTATTGACAAGGGAACCTCAACACCTCAAAAACCCATATATTTTGATGAAAATTTCAGAATATGTTCGAAATCGCCTATCTAGACATTTCTGATATTTTGAGAATCCGCCCGCCAGTTTCAGCCGAGTTATATCAGTTTCAGTACCAAAAATCGCCGTTTCAGTGCAGAAGAAGTGTTTTAGAAGACGATTTTCTCAAGTGCTAGGACGTTTCAAAGCATGAAATTCGTTGTGTTATACTCAAATTTTCATGAAATTTCATACTTCAAACTTTTTTCTCAAGAACAAAAATATTTTTTTTTTTTTGAATTTTTTCACGATTTTCAAGATTTCTTCGAAAATTGAAAAAAATGTTTTTTTGACAAAAAGTTTGAAATATCAAAGTTCATTAAATTTTAAGTATAACTCAAAAAGAAACAAGTTCTGGAACCTCCTAGGAGCGGAGAAAATCGTCTTTGAAAACGCTACTTTTGCACTGAAAAGGCGATTTTTGGTACTGAAACTGATATAACTCGGCTGAAACTGGCTGGCGGAATTTAAAATTTTTAGTGGTGTCTAGATAGGTGATTTTGAACATATCCTGAAATTTTCATCAAAATCTGGGTTTGTGAGGTGTTGAGGTTCCTTTGTGAGAAACTGTTAAAACTGAAAAAAGATAGTTACCAAATCTTGCCCAGGAACGTATTTGTATCAGGTAAGGCAAGATTTTTATTTGAAAACATTACCGCTTAAAAATCTCCGGTCCATGTAGTCATTTTGGTTTAAAATTGTCATTTTTGAAAATTCGAATTGTTTTTTTTCTGCAAACACTAATAATTTATGGAAAAAAAACTTACTTCAAAGAAGTTTAAATTTTCAAATTTTTGTCAAAGATTAATATATATTCCATTTTTAGACACCCAAAGAACTCTCGTGAAAGATGCAAAGAACGAGAGCAGAACAACAACATGGTTCCTCAAAGCTCCGGCATCACTGGCCCCCGTATAACGCCAACCGATGCTAGTCACTCGCCAGGACTTCCAAATTCCACTATCCGCCTTCCAAGTTTCAATATTTGCGAGCGGGTACCGATCCGATTCTTTTTCCCGCCCGAAAAACAAACGACACAGGAACTTGTCGTCGAGAAAGGAATGAAACAGAGTTGGAAACCAAATAACATTATTCGTCAAAATGTTATTAAGCCTGAAGTTCCGAAGACGTCATTGTCTTTTGCTCATCACTTCTATGCTAAGCCTGGCGAGGTTCTCCATCAACCCCATGGACCTGCGCCCGCCAACTACTCCGAAGAGTGGTACTGAAGAAGGTGAGAAATCTACTTAAGTTGTGTCATTAATTATTCAATTTTGTTCCAGGACTGATGGCGCTTTGATCATATAACACATAAAAACCATTTTAAAAATCGACAAACAGGATATAGAAAAAAGATTCATGCAAATAATTAAATAGGAGAACATTTTTAGAGCTTTTATTGTTTTCTGATTCATTGAAACAATAAATATTTATCTAATACAGACAGGTGTTTTTTCGTTATTTTCAAGCGAAGATCTGAGCTAACTGATAATATGGTTATACAAATTTTAACACAAAGTGGACTACAGTTCGAATGACTCAAAAAATGTCAAATCCGCTATCGAACAATCTATTATCAAGTTCTCTAATTTTCATCAAAGATAACAGACAAGATTCTCACAATATTTGAACTTTGATGTTGAAAAAAATTTCATCTCTATTCATTGTTTCAAAGAGTCTCGTTGACATTACACTCAATCTTCAATCATTTTGATAAGCTTTTTTTTTCAACACACTCACATTCAGCCAGCCAGTGTATTCAATTGTTATGTGCTGATTGAAATTAGCGTTCAGTTGTTTTTTCTCCCCAAACGTGTCATTTGTCATTTTTTAACAGATATCATATATCAGGAGGAAAGATGAGGTGTCGAGTGAGACACTCAAAACTAAACTCTTGCCTTCAAGTTCATTTGTCGCTGATTGATTGTCACTAAAAGATCAGAGAGGAGTTTCGCGTTTTAAAAATCCGAAATATCAGATGAGTGCGGAAAAATGAGTTCACTCTTTTCGATTTATGTGTAATTAGGCGGAAGAGCATTCCATCTGCAAATCGCAATAACTTTTTTCCTGTCATTTGTTTTTGTTTTGTTCCCCGCTGATAAATGAGTAGAATTTTCAAGTTATATTTGTGTTTTCTACAAAGTAATTATTCCTCAAACTTGAATAAAAAAATTTTTCTCGAACAAGAAAATCAGGGTTTTTTTCTCATTTTTCAGTTTGAGATTGAGTTCAAAACCTCAAAAGTTCATTTTCATCATTGTCAAAAAAGTGCGAAACTAACACTTGGCCTCATCCGTCAATGTTTTCATCCAGAAAGTTTAAAAGCCGCCACCCCACTGAACAATCATCATTTCTTTTTTTTTCTGAGAAGATCATGAATCATACACTATCTCCCACTCACGAAACTCCTGGGAATAAGAGTGGCCCCAAAATTTCTTCTTATCTTTGAACGTGACTCTAAATGTGGTTTTTATAGATATAAATACTCCACTATATTTGGTCTACTAGTTTCGTTCTTTTTTTGCTTTTTTGAGCTTACCAAAAAAATCTCTTATAGAAGGGTTCCCAAACTGGAAATTTATTTCACTTCTCATACAAGGTTTTAAAAATGTGTCAACTAAAAAGTTTCTCATATTTAAAAACGCTTCTGATATTACACAATTCATCAGTTGCCAACCTTTTCATATATTTGACAGGAACCGGAAAACTAGCTTCAAATTACAAGTTAGAAGGCTTTTTCATTACAGGTTTGTTCAGTTGTAAAGTTATTTTTTTTTGTTTAAACCTTCCCTGGAAATAAAATTTTCAGGCCCCTTTTTTTCCTGCTCCATTTATTGCAAAACAAAAATGAACATTAAAAAAACGAAATACGGGGGAACCAGAGTATCCTAGTATCGGAGTCTCCTTGACAGCAATTTCACACATTTAGTGTCAAACTCTTCTCATTTTCATCTCTTTTTTTCTCGTTTGTTGTGTTTTGTTTTTTTTTTCGTCGCCCGCGGTTTGTGTATATGTGTATATGTGCTCTCCGGGAGAAGCGCTTCCCAGATCCCATGAATAAGGTATTATAGGTTGAACTCCAGCTGTTTTAGTGTGGGAAAAAGAACGAACGGCAAGAGGAAAGCCTATCACAATTGTTGCAAATTGTAGTATTGGGCTAGAACCCTGAGGATTGCTGTTGAATGTCTTAATCTGGTTTTTTTTTTCAAAATTGGATAGTGTCAAATTTATAAAAGCCCTTACATATGTTAGAAATATGTAGCTGCTGTAACAAGATAATCTAAATCAAACTTTCCTTTTCTGCTTCTGACCATTTTTCTAATCTAGAGAATCTTAAAACGTACGGAAAAATCCTAAATACTAAACCGAGTCAGAGTTTCTCAGTTTGAGATTTTGTGGTACTCTGAGTATTTACAAAATCCAACAAATTACTTTTATGTGCATTTGACAGCCTCCTCAAATCCCACAAAAATTTTTCCTCCACGAATCTAGAATTTCACCTCCTTTGGTTTGTTTTATAAGGACCTTTGCTTCCCAAATTATAGGGTTCGACTTTTTCGGCCCCTCCACTTCCTTCAGAAATTTCTTCTCGGACACACGAATGCATTCTAAGTCTTGTGGGTGCCACTCGGTTGTCCTATCACTCTGTCAAACGTTGGGACATATAAAGTCCAATTTCGGACACTAGAAAAAAGAGCATCTGGCGGCTCTAGTCGTCTTATTCAGACTTCCTTCATACCCTCCAGTTTCTTAACCGTGTTTGATGATCCATCTCCTGTTTCCCTCATTTTTTTCTATTTTCTCGCTTCTGCAGTTTTTGGTTTTCCTTCATCTTCTCTGCGGTTTTTCCTTCACACCTCGAATTTTTGGCTCAAACTCAAATAGCACAAATTGCTACCTTCCGTCCCATCTCGATGCAAGTATTCTGACAAATAGAGATTTTTGGGAGACAAAAGTAGTGAGGGGGAAGAAAAGTGGTTGTTTCGTTTCAACATGTTGAAACCATAGAAAAAATTTGGAATGAAGTTTTTTTTCGATTTCGAAATGTTTAAATTTTTGAATTGGCTCAGAATCGCGTTTTCTCTAATGCTACCAAAAAAGTTTGTACTTTGAGGTCAAGCATCTCAATCCTTGAAGAAATGTCAAAAACTTAACAACTTTCAAAATGTTGCTTATAATATCACCAACATTTTATGAATTGATAAATTTTTGATATCACTTATGAGAACCGAGATAATTGAAGTCATAATAGAGATGGTGTTCAATTAGAGAAAATGTGTTATATAGCTCGAAAACTCTGAGGTATGGTTACTGTCAAAACAGTTACACCTTTTTGTTTTTTCTTCAAAATTTTCTTCAACTTGTTCTGTTTATTTCGTGAATTCTCTAAGAGGACGCCACGGTGCCGGGAAGTTTTTTTACGGCGACATTTTGCCATTGTGACACTTTGCTACCGTAATCTCACAGGCGGAAGGATAGGTTTTAAACTACGAAAATACCTTCAGGGTTTTCAAACATGCTGTTCCTGATAGAATAAAATCCAAAATTCAAAAAATGGAAAAAAAACAAGAAAAAAATCGAAAAAACTGAAATTTGGAACTTTTTCAAATCTCGAAGCGTGTTCTAGCAGAAAAGGCATCCTTGGAAATTGTTGTGTTGTTTTTGCAGCTGTCTTCTTTTCTATTATCTCTTTGCCTATTATCATGGTGGGAAAACGTCCCGGAGCCACTTTCACCCAATAATTTTACTTGGAGCATGATTATCTTAATTTAAATAAGAGATACCCAAAATCTGTCAATTGATAAAATGTTTGCGATATATAAACAAACATTTTATCAGTGACAAGTCATTGATATCTCTTGCAGAAATTGAAATAGATCGGCTCAAATTTTGAAGCTAGGGTGGTCGTTTTATAATAGCAGTTGTGGTAATGACTAGAATTTAGTCTTTAAAAAAAGTACAAAAATGCTCCTCACATTTGTTTATTTGCTTTCAGGATAGAATATTCTCGGACTACCCAAACTTGCCTGAAGCATTTTTTTTTGCTATTTCTATTTTTGAACATTTTAAAGATAGTCTCTTTTTATTCCCAAACAAAATTTTCACCCTTTACTTTTTTTGCCACATTTTCCAGTTTCCCGTATGACCAATTATTTTGGTGGCATGCTACATTTTGATTCAATTGTACCACCACTTTTTTGTCGCCCTTCTGAGACCATTAATTTCTTCTCGAACTGCTCAAATTGATTCAATTCAACGCTTGTTTCCGTGCGAATGAACTCTAGAAAAAAACGACCTCCCGCTGTTTACATCCAAGTGTGCAAACAACATAAACAGACGAGAATGGTCCGATGAGCGGGAAAAAGTAGAGAGCAGCAAAAAATGTTTCTTGTCCCGTCTCTTTTCCTTCCTTGTCCTTTCCTCTCTGTCATTCAAGATGTGAAGGAGATGTTATACTTTGTGACATTTATATAAGTTTATAGGTTTCCGTTCGATTCGTGTCCCTTTTTTAGTTTCTTTCTTGTCCCACCTGGATAATGCAATATACAATGTGAAATTCGTATAGTTAAGTAGGTGTTTTTCATTTTTCATATTTTTCTCTGTTTTCTGATCTTCTGCATCAGAGCTACCATCAGACTCCTCTTCCAAGGATCCTAAAACCAACCATATAATTTTTTGCATGTCCACTCTCTCCATACGAAAACTGAGATTATATATAAATGCAGTTTTTTTCGGCGAACCTTCGTCGGAAAAAGGCCTTATAATTCTTCATCTTCTGACGGGAAGGGACGGACCGCATTTCCGATGCATCGCTTTCCACTATTTTTTTTGTCTCATTTCATTTCTAAGCTCTTGCGCTGTTTCATTTCATTGGATCGGCAAAAAAAAGTACAAAAATGAGATGGATTTGTAAGGAC